TATAAAAAAGAATAGCCTCCTGAAAACATTTTCAGAATGTTTCTTGGAGAATGTTCTTCATTTGTTATCATGTAACATTGAGGGAAATCCTCAAAACATCCTCTGAATGTTGCAGTTAAAACGTTATGTCTTAGTTAACCTTAAACCTTAGGAACATTATTTGAAAAAATAAACATCCTAAAAAGGTTCTTTGAACATCAGATTAAAAAGTTTATTTAAAACCTCATTAGAACCTGTAGGAAACGTGAGCCAAAGTTGTGAAAACGTTCCCCGCTAGCTGGGGATGCAGTAATGACGTATTTTTTTAGGCCGACCTGGAAGTTAACATCGCAAAGGGTCCCTCGACAAATAGCAATGGGATTTCTCCATTGTAATTTGGAAAATTGCTGAAAATAAAATATCTGTAGCAAACACACATATATGATACGTACACCTTTTGTTCAGAAGGATAATATCCCCATATTAACACTGTTTTTATGATTTTTTTTAAGCGTGAATGCAATCACCAGAAATGAAAAGCTTACATTAGGCTAAACAAACTACATTATGGCCACATGCACCTCACCACATCTAAGCTAACGGCAGACTCATGTTTGTCGTAAGGACGTTAAATAGTCAAATGTACTCACTTGTTGGCAAATGCTGGCAAATGCTAACAACTGCTAACGTTTTACGAGACATAGAAGATCAGACAATCAACGAGTGAGGTGTTTACTGATGTATTTTGTGTTGTAGAACAAAACGTTAATATCTTGTGTTTCCCACGGGCTTTATTTCAGGGATATCAGGCAAAGAAACATTGACTTCTACAAGTGAGAACAGGAAGTGGTAAGACACCAACCAATGTCCTGGTTTTAAGGATCATTTCTTCACTATGCGATTTTTTAAATGATGGCATGTATTTAATCAGTGGCATATACTGTGGTTAATATTTGTACAGGAATATTTTTAATAGTTTCATTTTAACCTCAGATTACTAATAACATATAGGAATACAAATAAAAAAACATAATATTTCTTACACAAAGGTCAGGAGGATTTATGGGCTGGCAAATAGTAAATTAAATGGTAAACGATATGTTTATGTGGCTTAACATAATTAATTACTAACTTTGCTTTACTGAAATCAAAATGGCCCTCACAAAAAATAAACACATCTGATCTAACGAAACACATTTTCTCATAATGCACTCACACATGACTCAGCAGACTACAGTTGAGTGTGCTTATTCTTTACTTAAACAACTAGAACAAGGATTTGTTGTGTCTATTGACATTTACTGTAAAACAGTAACCCCTTGACCAAGGAATAGTG